ATCATGTATCAGAAGTTGCTGCTTATCGTTTGATATTCCTCGACTCGAATTCTGTTTTTTATGATACTCTCTATGTTGCTGATGTAGCGAATGCAAGGATCAAGCCTGCACTGAGAATTCTCAAACAGAACCTTAATTTGTTGACAGCAATTCTCACTGACCGCGCCCAACCTGTTGCAATGAGAGAAGTCATGAAGGCCTCTTTTGAGGCCTTTCTCATGGCTTTGCTTGCTGGTGGCTGCAGCCGCATATTTTATCGATCTGATTATCCCATGATTGAGGAGGACTGTGAGAACTTGAAGCGCACATTTTGCACATGTGGTGAAGGATTGATGAACGAGGATGCAGTGGAAAAGGAGGCTGAGATTGTTGAAGGGGTGATAGCATTGATGGGTGATAGCACAGAACAACTAACGGAAGATTTCAGTATCCTGACTTGTGAAGCCAGTGGTATAGGATCTGCGGGTTCAGGTCAAAAACTACCAATGCCACCAACAACAGGAAGATGGAATAGGGCAGATCCAAACACAATACTACGGGTGTTATGCCACAGGAATGATAAAGCAGCAAATCAGTTCCTGAAGAAAACATTCCAGTTAGCAAAGAGAAGATAAAGGAAGTGATGGTTTTCAACTCTAGTGCATTTCAGGAAAAGAGTGCTATAGTTTTGGATGCTTTGATATAGTGTATAACGACTTCTAGCCATGAAGCCAAAACAGATACTTTAAATTGGAAATGTGATGGAGCTCATTGTATACATTGGGTTTGGTTTAAGTTAAAATTCCATATCAAGATCCTCTTGGGGATTGAGAAAGTATGTTTATATAAAACATTTAACCGTACGAAAGCAAAGATCTTCTCAAATGTTGAGCAGAAACTTCCTTTTAAAGACTTGCCTTTATAATTCCTCATTGAAGAATGGCTTCTCATTGTTACCTCAATTTCTGATCCAATTGTGTGTGAGAAGTTCATTCACTTCTTAACATCAATTCTGCGAAGTTTCTCCAACTTTACAGAGCTTTCCAAGAAATGCTTATATGTTTCAAGCTTGCAGACAAGTTACATTACAAAATGCAATTCCTTCCCTGGGAGGAGATTTTCTTGATTATGCTGTTGTTTAAGATGAACACTTGCAAGTCATCAACATTAACTATATCCATTTCTTTTCCATTCAGTAAATAAATAGTAAACATGACAGTTTTATTTCTCCCTCAAAAGGTGAAGAAAATGCAGCATACAGGTATTAAACCACCATTTATCCCAACAGTACTTCCCCTCCAAAATAAGCTATTGAGGGAGGGAGCTTCTATACAATGGCCGTCAACTTGTAACCTGATCTCCGATTTCAGCTTTGATTTCTACGCAGCCTTTTCTTCTGCACTTTTCATTAAGGTGCAGAAACTTGGTTAGGCTCCCTCAATCTCATCCCCTTCAATTCTTCAGCCAGTACTTCCATTGAATCCGAAACTTCAGCCTTATAAACATAAAACCTAATCACACCCAAGAAGAAAATGAAGTTCAGGAAGTTTACTATTGCGAAGAAGGCATAATAATAGTCCAGGTGAGAAGCATTTAGGTTATTCAAAATCCACCCTCGGTGACCATGCTTCTTGGTGATATGAGAAACTGTGGAAAGAAGGAAACTACTAATGAAGTTTCCAACGCCCAGACTAGTTGTTGAATAAGAAGTGCCAAGGCTTTTCATGCTTTCGGGTGCCTGGTCATAGAAGAACTCGAGTTTGGCCACCTCTAAAAATGCATCAGCCGTTCCCATGAGCACAAATTGAGGAAGCAAAATGAATATCGTCAAAGGGACTTGGCCTCCCTTTTCAACTAAGCCGTGTTGTCTGGCCACACTTAATCTGTGTCTTTCAATTAATGATGCAGTTATCATGATTATGATGTGAAAAACGAGGCCTATTCCCATTCTCTGAAGAAGAGTGATTCCTCTGGGATTCTTTGTCCACCTACGAACAATACGAACAAAGAACCTGTCATATAACACAACACAAACAAGCATTGACAGAGTCACAAATCCAGCTAAACTTGCTGGTGGGACTTTGAAGTTGCCAATTTGTCTATCAAGAGTAGTGCCTTGCTTGACAAAAAGAGTATTTATCTGAGCAATCAGTGTGCTTGGGACGAATGTTGAGATCAATATCGGAATCATTCTCAACATCTGTTTAGTCTCCTCTACTTGAGTAACTGAGCAAAGCATCCATGGATCAGTTGAACCTGTCTTCACAGCAGCTTTATTTAGGAACCTGCATTCATGTTGCCCAAGTTCAGACTTATTACTAGGCCAAGCCAGGTATATAAATTAGAATCCTTACATCTAAGCTGATGCTGGAAGAAAAGAAAAGAAAAGAAAAAAAACACACGCACTGCAACTGTTGCAAACCTTAAGGTTGGTGTAGAATCAATCCTGAACTTTCCGGCCTTTGCATATTCTTCCAAGTCAAGTTCATGGAGTTCTTTAGGGTCATTAGGGACCGAAACCTTCCATTTGCACAGGGCTGCCACCATGACCTTAGCCATCCTTGTAAATGGGCTTCCTGTTGGCTGCCTGTGCCTATAAAATGGTGTGCCAGCTAAGAATATAGCAACCGATATCACAAGCCCAATAGTTGGAAGCCCATACCCTAATGCCCAACCCACATTGTCTTGTATGTACACAAGTATAGTGTTAGCAAAGAGCGTCCCAAAGAAGATGCTGAACATCCACCAGTTGAAGAAGGATAGCTTATAAGCCTTCTCCATAGGATGGAAATCATCAAATTGATCAGCACCGATTGTCGAGATGTTTGGCTTCGTTCCCCCGGTTCCAATAGCTAGCGTGTAGAGGGCTCCGAAGAACACTGCTAATTGTAATGTGGAGGCCTCTTTACAGTTCTCCACATTGGCATCCTTGCAGAGAGGTGGTCTTAGTGCAGGAAGGGAAACTGATAGTGTTAGTAAAGACATCCCCTGCAATCATGTCAGATTCCTTCATTAAAATTCTCACAACTGTATTAAAAATCACTTCAACAGTTGTTCGTGCGTGGACAAATGATGAACGAACGCCAGATCGCTTTCGGCCATTTACTATTCAAATGTTATCCAAAAACTACGTTATCTTAGAAATTGTTCTTATCCTATGCTTGCACTAATTAATATGCAAAGTTGACTTAAGGACTTTAGGGTGCGTGCTAGTATTTATTTTTTTCCCCTGACCCGAGACGAGACCAACTCCAAGTTGCAATCTTGAAAACTTCAACACATCGAAGCAACTGGTTTTTCTTACAACGAATTAGACAATACCTTCCTAATTCTACCTTATAAAACAGAAAATCTGAGGTCAAGCTTTCATATACCGTCCTCCCACAACTTGGAAATTAATAATTTGGTCATGCTTCCTAATTCTACCTTATAAAACAGAAACTCTGAGGTCACGCAGCTAAATTTCACACGTATTCGTAACCATAACCCTTGATTGTTATCCCCTGTCTGACCTAGTGATCAAGAACACAGGACAACTCGCGATAAATGGATTGATAAATTCAGACAGAATAACATGCATGTTCTGAAAAGGATATGAAACAGTGTTGATCGTAGGATATTTGAATTGAAACATGTGGTCCAAAGAGCTTCTCATTATTCGGGCGAGATGAAGCAGGGAGCTGGACCAGAAGCAATGCATGCGTACGATAGAGAAAACTATAAATGGCGACATGCATACATACCGAAAGATAGATGACAGATGCAACGACAAAGGTCCAGTAACGGCCAAGATGTGCATCAGCAACATAGGCACCCAAGATAGGAGTCAACCAAATGGTGCCGACCCAATTTGTTACATTATTGGATGATTTCACTGTGCCTTGATGAAGCTTTTTTGTCATGTACACTACAAGATTGCTTGATATCCCATAGTATGCCATACGTTCGAAAACCTCATACACTGCAATACAATACAGAAAGAAAAAAACAATGATACGTTATTTTCAAACGTTAACAAGTTGAGAAGAAAAAAATTGGCTGGAGATAATTTTTTAGGATCTTAGTGTTTGAGATGAACGTTGTATATGCGTTCATAACACTTGAAGAACCTGTTTATCTTTACGTTAGTTTCTGTTGGATCTACATGTTTCTTGTATTGAAAAGACGAAAAGTTGCATTTTGTGGGAGAAATTTATTTCTTTTGTTCTGTTAAAGATTCGTGTTCTAATTAATTTTTTTTTTCACGGACAGCATTTCCCACTGATTAATAAAGAGGTACCGATTATTTTAGCAGACCAAGTATTCTTTTCTTGATCATCAATTTCACTGTAAAAATAGTCATTATTTTCTTGGTTTTATTTTAATACTTGAAGGGACTTGTTCATTTCCTTTACTCATTGAATTTAAATTTGAGGATCAATGTTTACGAGAATTTATTTAAAAAAAAAGAATATATCAAGTCAATGTGAAATGCGTGTTTTTAATACCATCATCTTCGAACCAAAAAGAAAAAAATGATAAACCAAAATAATTTTGAAGAACTGTCTTTTCTGCCATACAGTAAAATTAATACACACACACCCGCTCTGAGTCAGTGAACTTCTATTGATTATTGATTCGACGACAAGGGCTCCTATCAGCAAGCTTGTATGAAGAGCTGCCATGGAGAAGCAGAAGCCACCTCCGGAGCGACCAATAAATGATAGGCCAGACACATGGGCTCATTTCACTAGTAAGAGATCGCTGACCCTACATCACGTAGGACACCCCGAAGCGCATTCAATTTGTGGACTAAAAATGGTGGTGCAGGTTTAGCTTCGAAATCATCCTAAATAGTTACTCCTAGCTACTCGATATAAATTCTAACTCGCACTTGGAACAGGAAGGTTGGAACCGAAGTAGCTGAGGGATAAGGGATATCAGGCCGTTTTTCAAAAAAAAAAACAATTTTTTAATATTTTAATATATTTTCAAATAAAAAATATTTTCAAATAAATTAGATTTTAATTTCTTGCAAATACGATGAACATAAAGAAAATATATGATGACCCTTCTCAGAATATTTATTGACTAGACAGCAAGACTTCCTCGAGATAGCATAGCTGGAATGGAAAAGACAGAAAAACTAGACTTGGAGAGGACAGACAGTAGCCAGAATGAATGTCTTAGACTTAATGAGATTTCCCTTTTATTTAATACCTACTTATTATCTATGATCATTAGGCCCATGTAAATTAATCGTGTGATATGTTCATAAAATGAAGCAACAGTGAATTAAGAGTGTCCTCCTGAATATTTGACATCAAAGCAAAACAGACCTCCAGGCAGAGCTGGAGAAATGTATAGTCGGAGAATAGCATTGACGGGACATACTGTCTTTCCATGGCATGCACGATTGTTTGGGCTAAAGTGATTAAAAAGGGAAAAACAGAAGAAGAAGAAGAGTTCAGCCCCCTGGCAAACAGCTTCCAAGTTTGAAGGAAACGCAGCTCGAAACAGCAGATGTCCTAAAATACTTGCAGACTAGTACTAGGCTAGTAGGTAACCTACTCAAAGACTCGTTAATGAATATCCTAGCTTGTCCTGTAAATTTGGAAAAACCAATACCCTTGAGAGATCATACAGAGAGGGGAGGAGGAAGTAGAGAAGATAAATTACCAACAACAAAGAAGCAAGCTCTCAATCCACCTCTCTTTGATCTAAGGACAGGCTTTCCCTTGAGATCGACGGTCCCATCTTGTGTGTAATCATCAAGCCCGTGTTCCATAGCCACCAGCTCTTCGGCCTTACAACTTGCGCTCGCCCACTTCTCTTTTCTTCTCGACCTTAATTATGCTCCCTCCACCGGCTTCTTGCTACCATATATATCGAACTGTCAATCTGACAGCAGCCCTTTTAAAACCTTAATTTACCATTTTGCCATTATTAATGCCCTTTATCAATAATCTTTTGTTTCTCCTTTTCCTTGAGACACATGTAGTTTATAGTAATTTAAGAACTCCCCAGTCGAGCCGCACCTTGATTATAAACGCAACCATTGAGCAATTTGCGATGATATATCACCATCTTGGAGCGATTTATGTTTAGCAGAAGGTGGTTAAGTGCTTTTTAGGTTGATTCGGTGTGCACTTTCACTAGGGGAAATGCTTCTTGAAATAGCTGGTTTGGCGAGGGGCTTCAAGTTGAAGATATTTTGTTAGATGATTTGCCATTGTTAGGACTTGGATTAATGAACGGAAGTCGGCAAAAAAATACCATTTTGGTGCAAAATAAAAATAAATTATACCTACACGTAGAGGGGTTGGTTGGGAGGAGTAGGTGCTAGGTGAAAAAAACACTCTGAGACAGGTTGCATTCCTAAAATCACCATATATGTGCACTTTTAATTTAAAAAATAAAGGTTAAAAATACCTTAATGATAATTAAATTTGCCTGAATTCATTCTTCGGAGGAGGCACTAAGCATAGAGTTGATACTTTCCTGGTAAATGGTGCTGTTTTTTTCAATCCCATCCTTTCTTTTATCTAAGAAAAACATATCCAAATAGTTTTTTAATCTTCTTTCTCTAGAATTACTAGTATTTTAATTATTCTCTCTATTTTTCACTAACCCTTCCATTTATGAAGGAATACACTAAGCATCCTTAAAAATCTAAGCTCTTAACAACTACTCTTGGAGATTTTGTTTTTCAATTTTAACCTTGTACCAATATAAATGTTATAAGAGATATATTGGAGTCTCAGAGTTGATTGCTCATACTAAAGAATGTTTTGACCTTCTGTTCTTGCTTCTGTCCCATTGTAGCTGGCATGGATTTGTGCAAGCCCTAGGCTAAAACAAAAATGGGGGGACACTAGCAAAGTTAATTAAGGGAAATGAAATTGGCACTCCATTATTGACAATAACACTCTATTCAATAGCACCATAATTAACAAGCTTAAAATGCACAATTGAACGGACTGCCATTTTAATATTGTAAAGTGACATTATCATCACCTTGAAAGTGGGATTCTCATCGTGTGTTGTGTTCACTAAAATTAAGTTGATGGTTCATTCGTTTGATTTTTTCGAGCTTTTATTTTTTTTATTATTGATTTTTCCATATATATATATATTGTTTTGTCTAAAATAATGTTTAGAAAAAAAAAACAAAGATATGGTGATGGTCAACATCTTTAAACTCGTTTAAATATTAAATTTTAATATATATAAGTTTAATGGGTTATCATATTTAATATATTTGACTGAACCAAACATCAAATCTAAGCATATATAGATTTGAAGAGTTGTCAGATTTATTAATATAGTTCAATTAAATAATAAACATTAAAATACAAATGACTTTGATAATTTTATTATGCTCAATCACATGATTCTAACGAGGTATTGATATGAATTAAAGATATTTTTTTAACATATAAAAAAACATTTTAATACTTTTAAAAGAAAAAAAATTCAAGTATTTCTTTTTATCGAATGATAAGAATGGTATGCTGTAAAGATTTATTGAATATTTTTTAAGAAAAAGTTTAATTTTTAATATTTACTTTATATTTATTTTTATTATCTTTTTTAAATATTATTTTATTTTCTTAAATATTTTTAGTTCTTGTATTGTGTTTAAAAAAAAAACTGGATTTGATAATTATATGTTTGACCGGTGCTTTTAAATATTTCCTTTCTTGTAACAATAGTTTATATGTATAAGCTTGATAATAAAAATATTTGTTTCTTTTTGTCCACATTTCCCACCACAATTCTCCGTTAGGTCCTTTCCAAAAGAAGCATTTAGAACCAAATTGATAAAGTTCACAACTATAAGACCCAACTGAAAATGAATGTATAAGTTAGGGATTAAATTGAGGATTTCTGGTTCATTAATTACAAGTTTATCGTTTAGTCTATGTGCATGCTGCCAAAGCACTAGTTAAAACTGGACCCGTAGCTCTCAAGCCTCTAGCTCTAGTTTGTTCGGTTATCCAGAAACCCTTCAACAATGCCCGAGTTCTGATCTGAAGAGAGGACAAGAAATATAACGATTAACCAATTAATGAGCTGGCTAGGCATTAAATGTTTGCCGGCATTTGACGAGAGATGCCGGGCGTCCCTGGGCATGTCTACGTCTATATGTAAATACAGCCGTGCTAGTTATGATCTAGTAGTGCGTTTATCATTAGCGTTTGTACGGTTTGATGCGTTTAGAACTTGTATACAAAAATGTTAAAAATAAATTAAAAAAATGTTTCAATATATATTTTTAAATAAAAATATTTTAACTCACACGTTAGCAGACGAGCTCTTAAACATAAAGCTGGATTTTAGTTCTTCCTAGCATGTTGCCAGCCCTGGTGTTCCTGTAAAACAAAGATTCTCTTGCACTGCTCGATGCTGCTAATGTAGATAGATTGCTAAAATTCATTCAGAAAAAAAAATAATTTCAAGAAATATAAACTTTAACAGGGATATTCAACTACTAGACCAGGTTTAGCACACGCAGAAAGAGAGAGACTGAAAGAACACTCAAGTCTGGCAAACAGAAACACGTTGGTTGGGGGGGGGGACAATGCAGAAGAAAGGAGAAGGAGTGTGTGTCACCGGAGGAAGTGGTTGCGTAGGGTCTTAGCTTGCCCGTCTCTTTCTCGACCGTGTTCACCGCCGTAAGAAATCTTTGTACGTTCAAAAACGAGTTGGAGTCCAATGTTGATAGTAGCTGTCGGGCCGGTGTAGGGTTTGTATATGATTATTTAATTTTTAAGGTGTTTTTTATATTGAGATGTTTTAAAATATTTTTTTTTTACTTTTTAAAAAAATATTTTTAAAATTAATATATTTTTTAAAACACAAATTAGCTTGCGTTGCCAAATAGACTGATCTTCCAGTTGTGTTTTACTAATTTTCGTAGGTTAGGTGCCTCATGTTGGAGTTCCACGCATAAATCTTGGATGAATTTTATCCTAGTTTATTTGTTTGAATGTATGTTTCTTTGAGAAAAATAAATAATTTTTTGATATTGATAATTTCATCATAAATAAATTATAAATATTTTATAACATTTGATTATATTAAAAAAAAATATACAAAAAAATAATATTTTTTAATTTTATTAAAAAGCAGGAAATAAAATCTAACATGTAAAGAAGTTGAAGAACAATAAAATTAAAAAAAAAATTGTTTTTATTTCTTGTGAAGTTTTAAGTTATTTTCATGTTTAAACCTGAAGAAATTTATAAAAATTATTATTTTTTAATCTAAAATTTTATTTACTTTATAATTTTAAAAAGTAAATTTTTTTATAATTTTATTAAAATTTAGATATAATATTCTCTGTATAGAAATAATAATTAAAATTTTATCTTATTTTTAAATAAATGTAAAAAATACAATAAATTCAATCAATAAATTTTAACTAAACTTAATATATTTTTATATTAAATTTAATTTTTAGTTGTTTTACAGACAAATCTATGTCATTTCCTAAAAAATAAAAAATCAAACGAAATTCTTCCCCTAAATTTTTAAGTTTACTATGTTAAAAAAAAAAAAAAAACCTATTATATTATGGGCTTTCTTCTTAACCACTCAATCAGGTGTCCACTTGTAGAACTTTTATGCATGATTTATTTATTTATTTTCAGAGTGCATAAAAAGATCTAGAATGTGTTATAATAATTGTTTTTTAAAGTATTTTTATTTTATAATATATATTAGAATAATATTTTTTATTTTAAAAAAATTATTTTTGATATCAGTATATTAAAATAATATATAAATATAATAAAATGTTAATTTAAAGAAAAATAATTAATTTATTTAAAAATATATTTTTAAAACATAAATTTGTTTAACCGTTGAAAATGGCTCTTAATTTTTTGGTTCCGTGAATTGTACTAAACGAGCTCATAGATTTCTCTCTAGTAGAGCATTTCCAACACTACAGCTAAAAGAACAGAGAAAACAAAAAAATTGTATTTTTACCTTTATTTTTCCTTTTAAGCATTCCAACCATCAGTCACATGAATAAGTAAAATAGTTTTTCTTATTTTAAAATTTTATTTCTACATTTCTCTATAAAAATACAAAAATAAATAAAAATATGCTTTCTCTGTTGGCCACCATTTTTTCATTTGTTTTATATTTATTGGCCAACATTTTATTTTGTATTCGTTGGTCGACATCTATTTTTCTCTTTAAAAGTAGAACAAAAGAAAGAAAACTTGCTTGCAAATTTCAAAACTTTACATTCTAACTCACCCTTTTATCTGATTTTAAAAAGTAAAAATTAATTATTTTTCAGTTAATTAATAACATTGATTGTGTTAATTAGCTGAAATCAAAAGATATACTTGCTTAAAGACTTTATTTTATTTTTTCTTAAGACCTTTTACTGTTAATTTACTATTTATGATGATTTTTATTTATTTTTCATTTTATTTATATGAGATGGGTTAAGGGAGATAATTTTTATTTATATTGTTAGCTTTGATAAAATTGAGAGAAAGTAACAATGGCAACTAATATTAATAAAAACATGAAGTGGCATATCTTGAATTTATTTTTGATTGTTTATTTTAATTTGAGGTCATTTATATTTTGTTTTGTTGAAAATATAACTAAACTAGTATATCAATCCTCTTTTAGTTCCCAAAAATAGTCAAACGGTAATGATTATATG